CTAATTCATGTTTCCTTCCTGGTTTTGGGTCCTGATCATCATGTTGGTCTGATTTTATGCATTTGACTGAATAAACTCTGGTTGGTTGTGAAGTTGAACTGTTTGTCTTTATGGTTCCACCTTTACACGCGACATTAACGGACCTGAGAGAACAACGAGCAGCCGGTGGAAATGTCTTGTTTTCAACAGTATCTAGTCCAGTGGAGCCCACAGTGGGTCCTGGAGGCCCGGCATCCTGCATGTTTTAGTTCTGTGCCTGGTTTAACTCACCTGGATCAGATGACGGATCATTAGAGGCCTAAGAGGAACACTGACCTGCTGCTGTTAGCACCAGGGAGGAACTGCCGGGCCTCCAGGACCCACTTTGGGCTCCACTGGTCCAGTTGGTATCTAGTTGGACTCGATGTTCTCATGGAGCTGGAGAGGTGGGGAGCCAGCACACCTGGTTGCCAGGATGACCAGCGTGTCGCTCTGTCCTGCACTGGCAGCTGCTGCCCTGAAGGAGGCGCTGTTAGCTCCTCCAGCTAGCTAGCCTCCATGAGGATTGTGGGAAATGGAGGCTTTATCCAGGAGAAATGGAGCCAATCAGCTGGTCTACTTAATCCCAACTGAGCACGCTCAGAACACCTGAGTATGACGCTGCCTTTGATCTGACACCTGGACACGCCTACCTGCACCAAGCCCCGCCCCCTGCTCCTCACCTCACACCTCACGCTGTCGCTGCCGTCCTCCAGCCTCCACTCTCCGCCCCGCCCCGCTCTCAGCCAGCCAATCAGCAGCAGGTTGACCCTGGGCAGCGACCTCTGACCCGGCAGGCTGAGCTCCGCCTCCCTGGCCCAGGCTCGATGCTGATTGGTGCTCCAGGACAGGTTGCTAACGCAGGCCAGGTGCTGCTGGGCGAGCAGCTCAGAGACGCACAGAGGCCTGGAGAGAGAGAGGGCACCTGTCAGGGGGCGGGGCTTAACTATCACCTCTAGGTCTATATAGATCAGGTCCTAGTGGTTCTGGACCTGGTTCTGGTTCTGGAGGTTCTACTGGTTCTGGTTCTGGACCCACCTGTAGCTGACGGGTCGGCTGCTCCTCAGGCAGCTCCTCTCCTGGATCTTCTCCACGACACACACACTCAGCTCACACACACCTTGGTCACAGGACGCACCTGCAGCAACACACGCCGTTACCATGGAAACGGACTCTTGCACCAGCTGTCTGCACCTGAGTGAAGCCCCTCCCCCTTTTTCTAGTCAGCGTCAAACGTCTGAGCTGCTTTGACTTTGAGGATATCAATGAAAGGTTAAAGGTCAACCGGCCTTAAAATGACCTTTAACCTTTCATTAATACCCTCAAAGTCAAAGCAGCTCAGACGTTTGACCCCATCTTTCTCTGATTTCTCTCAGGTTCTCCAGCAGCAGAACCAGGTTCAGGTTCCAACATGGAGGACAGGAGAGACACCTGGACCTGATGATCAGGAACCGGGTCAGAACCAGAACCACTCACCTGCACCTGGTTGGTCGGCGGCAGCAGGGTGGGCGGGGCGTCCAGCGGCGGAGTGGGCGGGGCCTCCAGGTGTTCTCAGGTGTTTGTGGATGAAGGTGAAAAGGTTCTGCAGCCAAACGGACTCCTGCAGAGACAACAGAACCACTAAGAGACAGAACCAACCGGGTCAGACTGGTTCTGTTCCGGTGATCAGGTGGTGTGGACCGGCAGGTTCTGATCCAATAGGCGGAGCCAGGGGGGGTCCAGACCAGTTCTGTGGACCGGCCAGCTGGTTCTGCTGCTGGCTGGACCATCAGAACCTTGGTTTCTCTGTTATTGGTACCAGAACCTGAGATGGACAGAATCATCTGGTTCTGGTCTGGTTAGCAGTGGCAGAGCTAGACTTTTAAAATTGGGGGGGCAAAATTTAAAATGTGTGTGTGCAGATCTATATATCTGTCTATTGGAGAGATATTAATAATAACCAAACTGAATATTTGGTTATTTTTTAAGCCCCTCTGTCATTTGACAGGTTATAATTAACACCTTTGACTGGTTCACATGGAGACATGACAGACTTTCGCAAAGAGTTCATCGCAGAGGCAACTAAAATCAAT